CAACTGATAAATTTATACTACGCACAGGTGGAAAGTCGACTGAGGTATGGTATTTGCCTATGGGGAGACTCTACACTGTCGAATAATGTCTTCGTCTCTCAAAAAAAAAATCATAAGGTGCATTGCTGGTGTGAGAAAAGACTATTCTTGTAGAGAAATCTTCAAAAGATTTGAAATTCTCACTTGTGTAGGCCTCTACGTATTTGAAGTCTGTATTTTTGTGTTCAAAAATAGGGATTTGTTTTTCATTAATAATGATTTCCACGAATACAACACACGTCGTAAGGATGATTTACGAATACCACTCTCTAAACGCGATATTTCATATAAAGCTCCAGCTAGAATCGGCGCAAAGATCTTCAATAGCTTACCATTCTCTGTCAAAAGCTTAAAACATAAACGCACCTTCAAGAAAAATCTTAAGGAATATCTGGTTGAGAAATGTTTATATAGTTTAAATGAATACTTTTAACTCCATATTTTAATTATTAAATGTAAATTGTATTTTTCATGTACTCTTAGTATCATAAAGCTGAGTCAATATTTTGTCCATTTTTTTATATTATGTACTACTTAGATTGTGTAAACATTTTATGTAGTTTTATTCAACGTGCTATGTTATTTTTTTATTGTTGATTCATTTTATGAATACCTACCATGCGGTTCCATCCTGACTCTTTCTTATACAATTGTATGTTGTCTAAAAGAGATAAAGTGATTTGATTTGATTTTTTGATTTGAGCCGAGCCATGTCCCAACCTTTTACAGACACCCAGTATGAAGTTTTTTGATTGAAATGATATCTATTACACATTTCAGTTTGTGCCTTAAAACATGAAACACCCCGTATATTTCGAGTGCGAGCTCAAAAAATCGCTCATAGAAGTATATCTTTAGATATATGCATTTAAATGCCCTACATATTTTTTGTAGATTAAAACGTTCCTGAAAAACTGCAAAAACCCAAACTACACCAGGAAATTCAAACAATTTATCGAAAAGGTGGAACAGAACTCCCAGTTCATCGAAAAAGAGCGATCAAAATCCACCTTCAACATCACCGACTTTAAACAAATCGACGGCTTCGAAACCCAAATAAAAATCAAAGGCACTCCACTGTCCACCTTCTTCGAAAACTGGAACAAACTGAGGACGATCAAGAAGAATAAACAGCTCACAAATAATGAGGAAATAGGCGATTACGATATCCCCACAATAAAAAGAAGTAAAAAAGACATGAATAAAGCGGGAGGACCTGTGGAATTGTTCCCCAGCGACTCTGATGATGAAGGGGATGAGGGGGAAAACAAAAACAGAAAGAAAAGAGGGAAGAGAGGAGGTAAGAATGTCAAGAAGAGGAGCGCAGATGAAAGTGGGCCAATAGAAGATACGGGCGAAAAAGATATCGTTGAGGACATTGAAATGGCTGATTGGTGATTTTTTTATCCTCAAAAATATTAAACCCTTTGGAGAATTCAATAGTTTTATTTATCAAGATTGGTACTCATTATATGGCTAGGTTCACTCAAATGTTGGAGAAGAAAACGCATCAATAAAATGTCTCAAAATAGCTATTTATGTATCAAGGGCGTAAAATAGGCTATTATGGACCATAGTACCGTAAAATGGGGATACTTGGAAGTGAGGGGTAAATTGGAACAAAATTTTATATTTTCAAATTATCCCCTGCTGAAATCTACAGCTGATTGCATTTTGAAACATCCTATCGTGCATTTTCAGTATGGTTGGTTATAATACTACTCGATTAAAAATAATAAGTGGCGTTAAAATATTATTTCAGGAATGTTGTTTATCATATTGAAACTACAAGCAGCGATATGACAGAAAAAATGGCATTACAAGCTTCAAGTCAAAAGACATGATCGATTCAATATACGGTATTCATTCCATGTAGCTTATGTTTAGTTACCATTTCACTAGCGAAATGCCGCGATATCACTGCTCAACTTTGAACAGTGTTGCCAATATTTTTTTCCCTACGAAAGGCACGAAAAAACGCCGAAAACTTGGAAAAGGCGCGAATGATTGTCCTTTTTGTTATCGCTTGGAGCGCACGAAAGGAAATCCCTATAATGTTCACAGAACATCGTGCGTTCCTAGGGGGAATAGGGACAGGAGGTAGGTATTGGAATTTTTTTTAACTTCTGGAGATTATATTTTGTTGGGAATACTTCCTCAGGCGATGAATTCCAGAGCCTAGCCGTTCTATGGATGAAGGAGTTTTGATAAAGTGCTGTTCGACATATTTCGAGGTTGACAACGAAAGGATGTGCTGACTGGGCTTGTCTAGTTTGTCTGACTGGTATTGCTAGTGAAGGAATGATAGCAGAGATTTCCGAAGAACATTTCCCGTGGAAGTATCGATAGAAAAGTGAAAGGTCGCCGACCTTTCTACGGTGTTCCAATGATGTCAAGAGTGAGTGAGTGTGGCGTCACCCACCAGGCGAATGGCTCTTCTCTGGATGGAATCTAAGAGCATCAGCGTATGTTTTGGTACTGAACCCTATATGAGGGAACAGTATTCTAGAACAGGCCGTATCTGCGCTTTGTAGATCATGAGAAGCTGTTGAGGTGAAAAGTAGCTTTTCGCACGGAACAAGAATCCGAGTTTTTGTGAAGCAGCTTTTGCGATGCATCTGACATGATTATACCATGAAAGAGTGTTGCTGATGGAAATGCCGAGCATAGATATGGTGGGATGTCCTTCTGGTACGTCCCTGGTATGTACCAAGTACGAAGAAAGGATATCCATAGAACGTCTTAAGGATATTCCAGGGACATTCCTTCGACAAAAGGAAAAAATGTGTAGGTTGAGTAAGGATTAAACCCGGGACCTTTAGCTTATCAGACACGCACCTTACTCCATTGCCTACTACATACTGATATGCCTTCTGAAGATTCATGTTATGAACAGATTCATAAACAGGACTAAACTACAGAAACCTGAATAAATACAACTTTGTTAGGATTTGGGTATACTATAATTATTATCATTCTTGGGGCATTATGGATTTACGATTTCTGTTTGCGAAAAATGGTCTTCTTCTTTTCTTAAGAAGTTCTGAGAATACATTCTGAATTTTCATTACAATTATTTTCCGGAAGAAAAACAAACGTTTTCAAAAAAATTCAACTCAATATTTCGATGAAATTCAGTGACTGATGTGAATGGATATCTCCAAGGCATTCGATCGAGTCTGGCACCACGGACTCCTCGCCAATCTTCCAAATTATGGCTTTGCCTCCCCAGCTATGTTCTCTGCTAGCAAGTTTTCTCTCAAACAGGTCTCTCCATGTAGTGGTCGACGGAGTTTCATCTGACTCCCTTATCATAAATGCTGGTGCATGTTCCGCAAGGATCAATTCTAGCACCAACACTATTTCTACTCCATAACAACGATTTGTTGGAGGCAACTTCATGTCTAGTACACAGCGTCGCGGATAATAGTACCCTCTCTTCCAGGGCTCCAATACCAGCCTGCCAGGCATATCAGAAACGAACGACGGAGAAATGTTGATAACATAAATATGGACTTGGCAACAATTCTGGAATGGGGATCCAATAACTTGGTAGATTTCAATGCAAACAAAACACAAGCATGACTTTTCTCAAAAGCCGATCTCACTGTGCCCAACATAAGCTTGTCAGAAGTGAACATACCTTTGAAGACATCCATTTCGATGCTTGGTATTACTATATCAGCAATAACCTTTCACATGAGATCAATTGCTAAAAGTGCATCCCAAAAACTGAGCTATTTCACTTCCAGTCAGCTGCTTATGAACTATAAGGCACAGATCCGACCTGTCCTGGAATACTGTTCCCATATTTGGATTGCAGCACCCAAACATATCCTGAAACTGTTGGATTCTGTCCAAAAAAAGGGCAATTCGTCTCGTGGGTGATGCCTCGCTCACAAACTCACTCACTTCTGTGGAACACCGTAGAAAAGTTAGAGATCTGTCTCTATATTATAGATATTTTCATGGACGATGCTCTTCAGAAATATCATCAATTGTTCCTCCCTTGGCAGTCCCCGCGAGATTAACCCGTCGAGTTGAGGCTTCGCACCCCTTCGTGGGAACTTTGGAGACCTGCAGAACATCTCTTTCCAAAGACTCGTTCATCCAACGAACAGCAAGGCTCTGGAACACATTGCCAAGGGAGGTGTTCCCCGAGGCATATAACCTCCAGAAATTAAAGAAGAACACCAATTCTTACTTATTTCCCTTGGTTCTCACGATGTTCTCTGAACATTACAGGATATCTCGTGGGAACCAGAATATAAAAAAAGTCATCTAATGACCTTGGCAATCGCGAATTCTAGCTCTGGTGGAAATTTGTAGCTTGAGGTACTGGGGTGAGTGTAAATTTGGGACAAGTGGAAGCCAGGCTGATTATCATTACATTTTTGTCTGTAATGTGGCTCTGTCTATCGCATAATGAACCTACCCATATTCCCTGAATGCTCAGTGATATATATATATCAAACTACCTACCCAAGAATTACGGTTCGACCTTGCCGATATTTCGAATAGTGTCCATTTACGTCGCATACCGAGCTAGCACGTGTTCGTTGTTTACGTGAGCCTCAAAAATATGTGAATATATTCAAAGTTTTCGAAGTGCATTAAATATTCGTAATCTTCAAATGCAAAGTCAATAAATTTCTTCCAAACATGGTGCGTAACTACATATGGAAGAAGGCGCCCCTGGAATACCCTAAGAACCCCTATAATTGAAAAAAAAATGTAGATCAAAGATTTGAGCACTTATCTCGTTGTACATTTCCAGATCCTTTAAATAATTATCCATGAGTAAGCTGACGTGATTGGAACGAGAATGACCCATTACTATTATTATTTTTCTTAGTTTATAGCGGAGCTATTGAAATTCGCGGTTCCACTTACCCTGATGTACCTCTTATCATTCGAAAAATAGGAAAAATAACCAGTGAATATGCAAGAAAAATCAAGGATTAGCAGCTCATATACATAAATATAATTCGAATTTAATCAATGGTTAACATAATATAAGTAAGCACACAATCAAACAATAATAAATTAGGTTCAGGCTTGAATCATCTTCTGGAGTTCCCCTTTTTGATGTAAAGCTTTAACATCTGATCCTCCACCTATGCACTTTCCATTGACAAAAACTCTAGGAACCTGAAAACAGAATAATTATTATCCAACTAATTCGCGTTCGCCAGTCATTAGATGACGTTCTGATGACATTGAAAACTAGGGGAAAACATATCTAACTTTCAGTCTATACCAGGAGTTTTGAATGTCATCACAACGTCCTTCAATGACCTTGGCAATTGGACTCTATAACAATGACTTGAGTTTTAAATGTGGAGTTACTTTAAATGGTCTATAATATAGAATAGAATAGAATCGTTTAATTGCTAATAAGACTACATTCACAAAGTTGCATCAGAAAAGAAATTAACAATTAAACATGGAAACTCACAGAGGCCTCAGCCTGTGTGTGAGCAAAAAAAAAACAAATTCATACATACATTAATTTAAAAATAGTGAACAACAAACTGTATACTCGCAGAGGACGAAGAAACATGAAAATATAAAACGTATTCAAATTCAAAATTCAAGTATCCTTAAGAATAATATTAAAATGTTAAAATACGATATTAGAATTTATATAAAGTAATGTACATGATCATTGAAATTATAGTTAAAATTATATGTTCAGAAACCCTTTCTTGTAGGAAAAAATGATTGTGTATATAATTACTGGAGATGATAATGGGCGTGTACACCTCAGTAAAACTTTTAACTCAAACCATGTTTATAATGATCCTTTTATACATAAATAATGATTGACGGCATAATTCGATCGAAAAATTAACTGGAATTTTTTATTTCTGGACATAAATAATAGTACCTTCTGAAAACGGACCCTCTTATGACGTAGAAACCTCATCTCGCCATAGTTAAAATAAAATACCAAACGCCCGACGGAGACTGAGGCAACTGATATATTAATTCTTTCAACTGTGATCTCGCGCTAATTCACTCTGTCAAAAATCATGTATCATTCATCTCTGTCTGGAATAGTCTTGTTTCAGTATTAGGATTTTGACGATCGCATCGTTTTCAGTGGTCCGAAAAATCGGGGATTTCAATAATTTTTTATAAAACGTAGGGAGCTCACAGCGATAAACGGTTTGCGGTGGTGAGCTAGTTAGGGTGGGTTCTATCGAATTATAGAATTAAAATTTTTTGTGATACAAGCCCATTATTGTTTCTCCCTGAAATTTCAGTGACTGAAATTAACACTTCACTAACCGTTCGAGCACCTGTCATCTCTCCTAGAATACTCTGGATTGCTTCACCATCATCTCTATTTTCCAGTGTTATTTCAGTATACTTTGCATTCAGTTTATCAAAAACCTTCAAAAAAAAGAAAATCATCTGTACCACATACCTACTTGAATTAAATTGAAAAAATAGTATTTATCAATTCCTATTCAATAAAGAGATGAAGAAAATAATGCATGTTGATGAAGAATTATTGATGCATGTTTGAAAAAATACATCCTATAAAGGGACATGCCATTTTATTTTCAAGAATAATTGTATAACTCTTCTCAGTTGTTCCTGACTCATGTGAAGTTGGCGCCGTTTTTTTTAAACACAAATTTTCTTGGGTTCCTCACTGAAATTTTGAATAGTTCCAGCAAACTGTAGATGTAAATGGAAAAGAATAATTTTGAGCACTAACTTCACTCAGCGCCGTTTTTTGAAGAAAATGATATATTTTTTTTGTTGTATTATGAAGAGTTCTGGAGTTTTAAACCTATTTCTTTTTTAGTCTCCGTTCAGACAATAGCATTGCTTCTTGTTCAGTTGATATAGACAGAACGGTATTCACTACTAACATGAAAATGGTAAATTCAAGATTAATTAATGAAAACATCCTGTAACTCATCTGATTGCCAACGTCACCAATTGTCAATGAAAACTGAAAAGCTTCAAGACAGATACGACTTTGCTATTAAAATAATCATTTATGTTGAAAACGGGAGCAGATTCGGTCCCAAAACATCCAAAGATAAGTGAAAATTTGATATTTTTTCTATATACCTTTATTTCTCTTCTCCATACTTTTTTCAATACAAATTGTCACAGATAAGCTAGTGAATTTTTCTTCTAGGCTCTCTGATAGGAAAATTATTTAAAAGCAGTGACATTTTGGGGCAAATCATCTGATTTGTCCTTACTACAGGTACATTGAAATAATATTCATATTTTTATTTTATTCGCGGGAATCAATGTCACCAGGTGGCGCTCGGTTTTCATCGTTCCATGTCAAAGTCACGTCAAAACTGGGGGAAAACAAACTCAATCCTCACTCAATCCCATTAGTGCCATCAGCTTGTGTACTGTGTACTGATAAGAGTGATAAGTTTTTAAATTTCTTGACATTAATTGTCAATATTAGATCGAAAATAATGCCTGTTGTAGATGTTCTTTTGGCAGATATTTTGCTCTATTTAGACGGAAAAAGCCGACCAGTAGTGGAAGGAGAAGCGGTTCTCCATACTAATCATGTGATTTTGTGTGAGGTAGAAGACTCCAAAAAAAGGCACATTTTTGCACTTTGTCTACAAACTTCGGCGATCAAATCTTCCCCACATGAAGTAAAATTGAAGTTGGGGTCCAGAGGAACTCCTGTAGAACAATGGATTTGTATTTGTTCATGCAAAGGAGGACAATCTGGGTATTGTTAACATGTTGTTGCTGTTCTTTTATAATTATGTAGATTGAATTGCTCGTCATAATTAGTTTGAATTGTTTGAACTATCTCCAATTCTTCACCCGTTCACTGTTCAATAAACTAATAAAAATGTAATAATGTTAAAAAATTAACCAACTCAACCATTATCACTACCAACAGTGCCAACACTTGTCATTGACAAGTTTGACTACAGCTACAGCAAGCTGAATGCAATGTAGTCTATGCACTTTATCCATAGACAACAGTTTGTTTTCCCCCAGTTTCAAGTTCCTAGTTCCTATTATGTAACCTAGATGTCGCCCACTTTGTGAATCTCGCCAATAGAAACAAGGAGAGAAAATCCCAAAAAATTCAGAATAATGAATTTATATTTCATAATGGTTTTCCTCTCTTTTTCTCAAAGGCTTTTTGTTCAATATGAAACAGAAGGGAATAGTATTCCAAGAAGAAATGCTGCCTATAGAAACAAGGAGAGAAAATCCCAAAAAATTCAGAATAATGAATTTATATTTCATAATGGTTTTCCTCTCTTTTTCTCAAAAGCTTTTTGTTCAATATGAAACAGAAGGGAATAGTATTCCAAGAAGAAATGCTGCCTATAGAAACAAGGAGAGAAAATCCCAACAAATTCAGAATAATGAATTTATATTTCATAATGGTTTTCCTCACTTTTTCTCAAAAGCTTTTTGTTCAATATGAAACAGAAGGGAATAGTATTCCAAGAAGAAATGCTGCCTATAGAAACAAGGAGAGAAAATACCAAAAAATTCAGAATAATGAATTTATATTTCATAGTGGTTTTCCTCTCTTTTTCTCAAAAGCTTTTTGTTCAATATGAAACAGAAGGGAATAGTATTCCAAGAAGAAATGCTGCCTATTGAAACAAGGAGAGAAAATCCCAAAAAATTCAGAATAATGAATTTATATTTCATAATGGTTTTCCTCTCTTTTTCTCAAAAGCTTTTTGTTCAATATGAAACAGAAGGGAATAGTATTCCACCAAGATATGCTGCCTATAGAAACACATTTTGGTATTTTATTTCCTTGAATTATTCAATAATTTACTTAGTTCAATCAGCACTCATTTTCTCCAGGAAAACGGTGCTGTGTGAAGTTAGTGCTCAAAATTATTATTATTCTTACCATTTACATCTATGATTTGCTGAAACTATTCAAAATTTCAGTCAGGACCTCTAGAACCCCATCAAATCCAATCAGAACTCAAACAAAAATATATAGTTGTTGTTTGTTCCTGTGGTTAGGTATTATTAGTTCCTTTTTGAGTGAAACCATTCTCACACATATTTTATCAAGAAAATGATTTGAATTTTGGACATGAATTAATCTTGTTTATAAGTATGGTACAAATAAGATGTCACCACCACAAAATATAAGATTAGCACAGAACATTATTACCTTGTTTACACCAATAATCCAGATAACTTAACAGCAAACTCAAAGGACCCGCACTAAACTATAGGGAAAATGGCTCTCAATGAAAATCGCTGAATTTTTGGTATGTTGCAGACTTTGATATAATGAACAGATATTCCATTGAACGAACCTCAAAAAATGGACAGTTTTTTCGATATAAACCTCCAAATGTCATTTTTTTTAGAAGAAAAAAGTATCTGAAAATGGTTGAATTTTTGGCATGTTGTAGATAGGAATGAACTGATGAAAAAATCCAATTGACTTAACCTCCAAAAATTGACAGTTTTCTCGATATTGACCTCCAAATAGAATTTTTTCAAGTAAAAAAATCTCTGGAAATGGCTGAATTTCTGGTATGTTGTAGATAGGAATGAACTGATGAAAAAATCCAATTGACCTAACCTCAAAACATTTACAGTTTTTCGATATTGACCTCCAAGTGTACGTATGGAAAATAAGATGAATGGAACAATAATCAATAGACAAAGTTGCTGTTTCCGAATTAGTATTTGGCGTTTCATTCATCTAAAAACAAATCTTCATATGATACATCCACAGCTGAAGAAAACCGAAGAGAGGATGTAATGAAATAAATATTATTTAAAAGATATAGTCTTTCCGAAATCAATGGGGTTGTAGGTATACACACTAGTCGAATTTATGCCATATATTCATTTTATTTTGATCATTCCATTCTATCTATTGCAATGGATTGATCGCGGTATATGAAGTCATCACGCGTTGTACCGCAATTTTCATGTTATGAAATATCGTGAATTTCAATGAATATTTACAATATGTAAAGAGATCTGACGAGAAAACGGTTTGCGACAGTGAACAAAACATTCCAAGTTTTGAGGTTAGTTCAATTGGATTTTGTCATCAGTTCATTTCTATCTACAACATACCAGAAATTCAGCCAGTTTCAGAGATTTTTTTCATGAAAAAATTGCATTTGGAGGTCAATATCGAGAAAACTGTCAATTTTTGGAGGTTAGGTCAATTGGATTCTTTCATCAGTTCATTCCTATCTACAACATGCCAAAAATGCAACCATTATCAGATTTTTTTTTCTGAAAGAACTGACATTTGGAGGTCAATATCGAAAAAACTGTCCATTTTTTGAGGTTAGTTCAATGGAAAATCTGTTCAGTATATCAAAATCTAGAACATACCAAAAATTCAGTGATTTTCATCGAGAGCCATTTTCCCTATTGTTTAGTGCGGGTCCTTTAGGATTCTATAGGATTTTCATGAATAATTGTCAGCTGAAAGATTCAGCTTACCAAGCCTTATAGATTTTACTAGGCCTATGCTCAATAATAATGATAGTAATAATAAATTGCCTTTATTTTACATGCTGGAGTTTAGCATAGTGATGTGAATAGTTTTTTAAAGATAAGTATGAACAATCATTGATGAAAAATCTTACCTCCTTGGCCAATTTGCAGTAGGGACAATATGTCTTGGAGAAGATCACAATTTTGTCAGATTTGATGAAATCCATAACTAGGGCTGATTTAACAGAATGTGTTTCAGAGGACATCTTTGTGCTGAAAATACCCATATATCTATGTAAGTATTCTAATTCCAAGCAGCTGAAATCACCAAGATTAATACAAACCAATTATTATAGTTGGAATCAAACAGAATTCAGGTATCTGGTCTAGAAGGAGAATGACTCTTGAATTTGTGGAGTGTAATTATACAGTTATAATTATCTGTGTTATCATAGTGATTTGAGATAACTCTCCCACTTTACTGTTGTTGTTTACTTGTGATCAAATTTTTAGGGAATTATGTTGCTACTATCACGGGACAGATAAGTAATAATCCAATAATAATAATAATAATGACCTTTGTGGTAATTTTTCACTTATCATGCCATGGTTTTTTTTGGAATTTTTTTTTTTTGGTACTTATGTATTTTTGTCTGAAAAACATTAATTTGATGATGAAAATGTGAACAAACCACTATTTATCAAGATATTTCAAGAAAAAGTTCGAAATTTTGCCTTCTTTTCCCCCTTGTGTTGGATGCATTTACAGGTACTTGCTCTCTTTATTTTGTCATTGGACACTTTATATTTTCATGATGTACTTCAATGCCACCTTTTGAGATAGAAAATTCAACAGGAAATATGATTTTCAAGGCGAGTGAAAGGTTATTTTCTAGTTATGCTTACCTCTCAACTAATGAATCTGTGACCTAATTGACTGATGATAATTTGGATTCTAAGTCATTGATCATAAAAAAACATCAGAATGGCAGAAACCAAATACTTGCTCAACCCTTGTTGCCCTTCCTTATTTCTTCTAATCCTTCTTCCAGTAGCTCCAGTCCCCAGTTCTTCCTTTCCTTGACGTCGACCTTATCCAAAGAGGAGAGGGGACCTTATCTTCAAACTTCAATTCTTCTCATCAACTTCTTTTATCTTTTAGTCACCGGCCACGTGACACGAGCATGATGTCATCTCAAGTTGTCTCAAGCTCTCAAGCATCTCAAAGGACGTTGTCAGTTTGGTTGTCAGTGTCACAGTGTCACTCACTTGTCACTGTACTGATCTGCGATCTGTGATCTGATCATGATCTGAACCCTGTACAGGACCGTATTTCTGTCAGTTCTGTATGAGATTTATTTTTATCTTCTGCGACGCACGAAAGGGAATCTCGATAATGTTCAGAAAACATCGTGCATTTATATAATTAGAAAACATTATAACCACGTATCACGATTTTCATTAAAAAATTGATTATCATATAAGCTAGTCTTCTATTTTTTTCTTCCTTATACAGGCTGATTCACGGTGGATGGCACATTAGACGTTTCTGGTGAACCAGACAACGGATCATTTTGAAAATTCAATGGAGGGCATATTCGGACATTCTCTAGCCAACTAAAATATTTTCGACAATGCGGTGTTGCCGCTTCTATTAGAAAGCAGTAGCAACTTTGATTTTTCAAATGGAACACTGTATTTTATTGCATTTTTAGATTCTCCCTGAAGAGCTGATTTCATCGATGTATCACACTTGGGGTCTAGCGGAAATGATTACAGAGATATAGGGTGTGAAAAATCGACATTTTTCAACTTTAGGAATTTTTTTTGTCGAAACTATTCATTATTGGTCAAAACGGCTTACATGTCCCTATCTCAACTTTTGATTAACTATTTTCTGATATTTAATTGGGACATATACCGGGTGATCAAGATTCTGAATTCTGCACCACCCTGTATTTGTTTCAATCAAATGTTAGTAGATAGTTGATCAAAAGTTGAGATAGGGACATGTAAGCCGTTTTGACCAATAATGAATAGTTTCGACAAAAAAAATTCCTAAAGTTGAAAAATGTCGATTTTTCACACCCTATATCTCTGTAATCATTTCCGCTAGACCCCAAGTGTGATACATCGATGAAATCTGCTCTTCAGGAAGAATCTAAAAATGCAATAAAATACAGAGTGTTCCATTTGAAAAATCAAAGTTGCTACTGCTTTCTAATAGAAGCGGCAACACCGCATTGTCGAAAATATTTTAGTTGGCTAGAAAATTTCCGAATATTCCCTCCATTAAATTTTCAAAATGCTCCGTTGTCTGGTTCACCAGAAACGTCTAATGTGCCATCCACCGTGAATCAGCCTGTATTTAATAGGTCGTAACTTTGATTGTTTAGAAAAAGTAGTCTCTCTTCTAATACAAAAAAGATATTTTTCTTCTGTATGTTCGATATTGTTATAAAATTGGGGCGCATGAAAGGGAATTCCTATAATGTTCAGAAAACATCGTGCATTCATATAATCAGAAAACATAACCACGTATCATGATTTTCATCAAATAATTCATTATTAATAATAAGCTAGTCTTCTTGAAAAAAAGTTTGGATAGAACTGACAAAAGTTAATATTGGCGATTTCATAATCGCCAGAATGAAGGATATTTCCCTTCGCCTCATATTTATTAGGTCGTATTTGCTTGATTGTTTAGAAAAAAGTAGTCTCTTTCTTTATGCAGGAATTATATTTTTCTTCAGTATATTCGATATTCACAAGGGAATTTGAAAAAGTCCGTCAGGGCAACGAAACAATAATGTCCTTCTCTCTTCCGCGATGAACCCCAGGAATAAACGCAACGACGGGTAACGTATCTCTGGGAAAACTAGTAACCTGTGTAACCTGTAGACTGTAGAGTTGAAGATGTTTTGAAACTTTCGTTGAAGAGTAACGTTATTTGCGGTCGCCAAATCATTAGATGACGTTGCGATGACATTACAAACTATGGGAAAACATCCTAATCCCTGGCATAGACTGAAAGTTAGACTTGTTTTCCCGTAGTTTTGAATGTCATCAGAACATTATCTCTACTGACTGGATGGAATCAAAATTGATATGCTGATGACTCATCTAGTTTTGGAGATCCTCATAAAGTGAGAGAATGGTTTGATAAATTGCAGATTGAAGGTGCCAAATGGGGATATAGTATCCTGAACCTGTGAAAAGTTTTTATGGTTGTGAAAGCTGGAAATGAACAAATAGCTAGAAACGTGTTTCATGGTCTTGATATCAATATCGTAACCTCGCATCGCTTTTTAGAAGGAATATTGGGATCATCAGGTCAAAAAATTGACTGTGTCAAAGAAAAAATCGATATATGGATAGAATGTGTGAAAGAATTCGGTACTGCTGCTGCAATGAAGAGTCCGCAGCTATAGCTTTTCAGCATTTACAAAATTTCTACAATCTGAATGGGTATTCACACAGAGAGTAATAAATGGTTGCAATGGAGAGTACCACAGATTGCGGAATGCCATAAGAGAAAATTTTACACCCTATATATATCTATTTGGACATGAAATAACAAACATTGAACATGATCTATTTGCTCTTCCCACCCGTCTATAGGAGGTCTAGATATTAAAGACCCTGTAGGAAGCACAGAACGATCCTTCAAAATTTTTAAAAATTGCCCTAAAGAATTAATCAATGCCATCAAGTCCAAACAAGCTTTCGATCTTAATGACCATCTAACCACTCTGAATAACATTATCGAAAGAGAAAGGCAGAGAAAGATTGACAAATTTGAGAGTGAGAGAATATAAAATCACTTTCCTGCACATCAAAAACGACCAATTTCTCGCATTGTGGAAGGGGCTGCTAGTCAATGGTTGACTGTTATAGCTGCTGCAGCTGATAATTTTGATTTATCACCAACCCAATTCAGAGATGCTTTAGCTCTCCGTTAGGGACATTCATTAGATAATATGTCTGTTTCATGTGATGGATGTGGAGTAGAAATGAATTTATCGCACGCACTAAATTGCGAAGAAGGTGGCTTTATAAAACATGGACATGACTAACATCGTGATTATTGTGCGGCGTTCGCAAATTCAGCTTGGAATGGTTTAAACTTAGAGCCAGTTCTTCGTGAGGCTGACCCCATCATCAATATTCCTGCCCTCTATGCTGACATGAAAATAAATGGTGTCTGGGAAGCTGAGAGAGTTGCGTTTTTCCTCAGTTTTTCGATAACCGCATTATTAATGCCGACGCACCCTCAATTTATATACTTCCCAAAGCTGGCATACCATCGCCCATAATCATGCAAAGCGAAAGCATAGAAAATATGACAGTGCAGCAGAATTCATCAGAGCTCTATATAGGTTCACTCTATTGACTTGTTCTGCTGAAGGTGTATCACACTAGCACACCAGCAGGAATGTGCCGTTTTTCAGAAACGTTTAGCAGATACATTATCACGAAAATGGAAGAAACCGTTTCTCGAAGAATAGGGTGAATTTGGAAACAAGCGCAAATGTCCATAATCAGAGCCGTGTAGAGGTACAAGACGGCATATAAGCCATATTATGAGGACGGGGCAGCTGTACCTATTTCATTCCATGTCTAAATTTGTTCATCTCCATTGAGTTTTACTTACTTCTACTTATATTTTCACTAACTGTTTTATTGATATTTAAATTATCTACTGTTAGAATTTATAGACCTTGGGACGCGATAATATTGGACGCCAGAATGTTGGATGTAGTCTGCGCATCTGTTGCGAGGCGCTCGTCAAATGTTTGCATACACAGGGCAGACAATTGATATGTTACATTGACTGGTGGCATTTGACATTTTGTTCTACAAATTCATCTGTTCTGTGTCAGCCATTATTGAAGTATTTGGCTGGTGATTCAAGCAAGAGGCGAAGAGACACGCGGTTCGTGCATCTGGATTATCAAATTCTTCTAAAAAGTAGCTGATATATTGACTTGAAATTGGTAATTAACATGTCGAATAACACAGCTCCAGATAGTTGGGAATCTCAAGCCGACTCTACGTCAACAAATAATTCTCCTGAACATAATGCAGATGTGACATCTCAATTTTCCACGTTGAACGTTAATGCTGTTGAATTTGTGCCTTCATTTTCATTCGGAAAAACTCCTGATGTCGATGAGAAGTCATCACCAACAAATTCACAAGGATCAAACAATTCACCCAAACATGATTCACCTTCTTTACCAAATGGTAAGTGGTACAAGTTCATTAACACCCATTATAAGGTTATACATTCTTCAATTCGTTTTTTTTCTTATGGGTTTGTTGAAGGCCTTCATAGATAGTTGAAATGTTAATCAAGCAGAACCTCTGACTTTCCAAGTATGCACAATATTGAAAATCCTGTTATCTTAACTCTCCCTCTGTACTAGTTCCTGCAGTTCTTGGGAAAATAATGTTGCACAACTCAGGTATTTTTGTATTGTTAAATTATATTTTTCTGTTGAGATAAAAGTTGATGATCAGATGCATGGTTCTGTGTCTTTCCTTCCTCCAGTAATACCTATATCATTATCATAGGTAACCATGAACCAGTTCATACTGGTTTGAGTTGGTTCTTGAAGTGTAGTTTCAAATTCAACTTGACCCAGTCAGTTTGTTTCACAATATAAGCATTGACCAAGGCATTGACTTATACTGATAGGTAACCTGTAATATCTATTTTTCCCAAATTTTGTTATTTATTTACTTTGCTATTTATCATCTAGTGCAATAAAAAAATACAAAAAGGTTGGAGTTGATTAGTGAAAGCATAACCTTACCAATATATTAATTTTATGATAAATTATTGTTATTGAAGATTGTTGTTATGTTTGTACTTTTATAGAAATAACTCATTAAATTTGTTTGTAAACTTTCTATGGGTCCTAATAGTATGATAGTTGTTGGGATAAATGTGGATTATGTATAAATAATTTCTATGAGCTAGTTCTAACTTGATAATAACAAGTTACATTAGTTTATTTCAGATTTCACAGTCCTTTTTTTCAGTTTTAAGTTCAGGACCAAGTTTGATCCTGCATCAATTCCACAGTATATCACAGGACAAAGTTGAGTTATATTAGCAATACTCTCCACTTATACACTTTTAGGAGAACATTTGCCTAAAGAACACCAAAATACTTGACTTTTCATCCTTGGTCACATCTTCAATAATTGTCATATGCTGGTTGGTTCACCTAACTGATTCATCAGAGCTTTATATAAAAGTAAAAAACATCAAAATACATTTTTTCAATCAATTTTGACAGATGTAGTGACTTACTGAAATGTCTGAGATTTTTTTAATTGACAATAAGATTTCCAAGAAATTCTTGATAACTTGACATGTTTCACTAACCCAGAAGCTTCTTCAGGTGAAATACTAATACAATGTACAATAATCTCAACTTACTGGCTTGCCTAACTTTTATATTCTACTTCCTCAACCTGAAGAATTAGATTACTTGTAGAAAGGTTCAATAAACCTTCATTCTCCAAAAATAGGCCCAGATACATGGTGATCAAAATTCTTGAATCTTGAACCACCTTGTATTTGTTTCAATTAAATGTCAGTAGATGGTGAATCAAAAGTTAAGATGGGTACATGTATAATAGTTTCCACACAAAAAAATCCTATGGTTGAAAAATCTCCATTTTGAACACTATGTATCTCTGTAATCATTCCTGCTAGACCCCAAGTGTGATATATTGATGAAATAAGCTCTTCAGGAATCAGGAAGAACCAAAAAATACAATAAAACACAGTGTTAATTAATTGAGTGCTGATAAAACAAGGATTTTAAGGAGAAATATTTATATCAACATAATTATATCCTAAACCTCTGTTTTTGAGCTATAGGGTGTTAAAATCAGAGGCGTACAGTTTTTTTTAAATCAAAACATTCAATATCAGGCCTACCTGAACTCGTACCTGAACATCACTGATAAAAGTAAAAAATTGATTTTCTTCCCAAAAATAAAAAGTGTTTCTACTCGGGTGCCTAAAATATTTTAACAAAATGCCTAAAAACAATCTCAATGAACTGAAGAAAAAAATATTGTTGGTTTTTATTTTTTCACGCAAAAACGGTACGTTATGAAAGTGAGTCTAAGAACAAAATTTGCTCCAAAATAAATGGGGATGTCCAAAACAATTTTGGTTTACAGGAAAATCAGTGGCATTAAATTTTTTTCTTCAAAAATTGTCATCCAAACCCCGTACGGACGTCACTGGTGAAAATATTATGAAATCTTTGTTGTCGAAAAATGCTACTTGACGATGAGAAGGTGTGTACACAATTTCATAAAATTATCTAAGAGTGATAAAATCGGATAAAAGACTCACTTTTTTTCTTACAATTTTGACATACTATAGCTCAAAAACTAAGAGGTTTAGGAACGAGTTTATGACATGTTGATATACACTTTTCTCCTTGGAATCACCCAAGGATTCACGCCTTGTATCATCGGGGTAGAGGGTGTCCCATTTAAAAAAAACATCATCAGCGGATATCTTGGAATTCGAACACCCTATTAGATTAGTTTCTAGAAGCCGTTTTGACCGATAATGAATAGTTTCTACAAAAAATCCTGAAGTTGAAAAATCTCGATTTTGAACACCCTACATCTCTGTAATCATTCCCGCTAGACTTCAAGTGTGATATATTGTTGAAATCAGCTCTTCAGGAAGTATCTAAAAATACCACCACATCAACCATAGGCACTGTGAAATGGGTATACTTACCCGTGTTTCAGTAGCTGGTTGATGTTCCGGCCAACCCAACCCAACCCAATTTCCTTTTCCTTCCACGCCAACCACCCTTCTTCATACAGAATACGCGATGATGAGTTCTCCTCAAGTAAAATTATCCGGAAATAAAATACCTCTCCATTCGGATTTCCGGGCGAGAGGTGCTAGAGGGGGTTCACCATCGGCTGAAAAAGTCCTCAAGATAGACCTATGTAACATCCGAGGTCTAAGTAAGAACATCAACGATGTCCATCGACACCTTCAAATTGAAAAGCCAGACATATTGGCTCTTACTGAGACACAGGTCAATTCATCGACCAATACGACCTATCTGCTCTGTCCTGGGTACGAACTCCACACACGTTTCAGATTCAAGGGAGGTCTCTGCCTCTACTCTAAAACGAATCTCTCATGTCAACGAGAAAAAACTTTGGAACCCAATAAGTTTGATGTCATGTGGTTCAAACTCGATAGCCAGAAACAGACCAAATACCTTTGTTGTCTCTACTTATCACCAAATGATCCATCCTATGGGGAGCTCTTAGAATTCTTGTCTCTGAAGCTTGACCAAATTCAACAGAACCATCCAGCAGCAGAAATCATCATCATGGGCGATTTCAATGTACACAACACTGCTTGGCTCGTACACTCTAACAGAACGGATGAAGCTGGGCGACAAGCCGAAGCTTTCGCCATCACTCACGGCTTAGAGCAGCTTATCAAAGAACCCACACGAATTCCCGATGCCAATAACCATTCAGCTAACATACTTGACTTATTCCTCACGAATAATTCAGCACCCTACACCATAGATGTACGAGCTCCACTTGGCAATTCTGACCACACACTCATCTCCACAACCTGCCCATTTTTCATTCCATCAACTGCTCCAGCACCCCCACGTCTTATATGGCATTACAATTCTGGAGATTGGGACGGTCTCCGCATGTTTTTCTCCGAGTTTCCTTGGCATAGAGTATGCTTTGACTCTGAGGACCCTTCACAGTGTGCTGCGGAAATATCCGAGATCATCATGCTCGGAATGGAAACATACATACCTCATTTTTCGAAAAGATCATCACCTTCGAAACCCTGGTTCAACAAAAGCTGTTCTAGAACTGTTGCCTTGAAACAAACAGCCTACCATCGCTGGCGCAAAAACCCTAACCTCGCGACTAGAGCAGAATACGTTGATGCCAGGAATAACTGCAGCCAAACAATAGATGCTTCGAAAGAAACATACAATGCCAAGATCAGATCGAAACTCATAGATTGTCCCAATGGCTCCCGTTCGTTTTGGTCCCTTACTAAAGCGGTCGGAAGAAATTTCACTAACAGTTCATTTCCACCACTGTCCAAATCCGACGGCACATTAGCAACAACATCGCAGGAGAAAGCGAATATTTTTGCAGAAATTTTCGCAGCAAACTCTACTTTAGATTCCCAGGGAAAAGTGCCGCCAGACATTCCACCCGTTGAGAGTCGAATGCCCGAAATCGTCTTCCGTCAACGCACTATCAGACGAATTTTGCTTGGTCTCAAAACGAATAAAGCTAACGGTCCTGATGGAATTCCACCCATTATCCTCAAAAAATGTGCACCAGAATTGACACCGATTCTCTGCAAGTTGTTTACCATCTCGTACAGGTCGGGTATTTTTCCATCATGCTGGAAGACAGCTAGAGTCCAACCAATCCCCAAAAAAGGGAACAAGAACCTGCCCAACAACTACAGGCCCATTGCCCTGTTATCAGTAATCTCCAAAGTGATGGAGAAAGCCATCAATATTGAGCTTATCAAATATCTGGAGAGCTCAGGAATCATCAATGATAGACAATACGGCTTTCGCCACCGAAGATCTACTGGAGATCTACTTGCCTACGTCACCCATTTATGGCAATCTTCAATAGAAAAACACGGGGAATCTCTAGCTGTCGCGTTGGACATATCGAAAGCATTCGACCGTGTTTGGCACGAAGGACTCCTCCACAAACTACCATCATACGGCTTACCACCTCAGCTATGCCATCTCTTATCGAGTTTTCTTTCAGGCAGATCGCTTCACGTGGTAGTGGACGGTGTATCGTCTGATACCATTGGCATCAATTCCGGCGTTCCACAAGGATCAATTTTGGCACCAACATTATTCCTGCTTCATATCAATGATCTGTTGGGAGTAACAACTTGCCCCATCCACAGCTTTGCAGATGATAGTACCCTCCATACTGCTTTCTCTTCCAGAATTCCCATTTCTTCCCAGAAAACTAAGACCTCACGGCGCAGGCAGGTCAATGCTGTCAATGAAGATCTTGCTGAAATCACAGCCTGGGGAACAAACAACCTAGTTGAATTCAATGCCACCAAAACTCAAGCCTGCATTTTCTCTAGAAAGGCGGAACTCAGTATGCCCGATATTGTAATGTCTGGCTCCACCATCCCCACCAAGCCCACCATATCC